AAAGGACTCGGACTCGAACTTGGGGGCAAAAAAATGTGATCGGGACATCCCTAATTAGAACAGAGATGAGAGAATAACCTAACCTGAACTTTACCTCAGGAGCACCAGCAGCACGTAACACCTGTAGAGCTGCATGCATTTTTAAAAGCTTCAATTTACACCAGAGGCAACAGAGCTGCTGCTGTGACACCAGCCTCTGTGTTCTCACGTTTAAACACTAAACTTTTTTAAAATTTTTTATGTATAATTGTTGATTGGATGAATTCCATTTTAAATCACAAAACAAAACTTGACAAGAGGAGAGTCGATGTTTTGCAGTGATAATGAGCCGTATCTGCACTTCTGCATTAATAAAGTTACTCACCATTTCACTTTGTTCGTCTGCACCATAAAATGTTTTATATTTATTCTCCACAGCTGTAAACTTTCTGTAGTCCATCACAAGTCATCCCCCGAGCTCCTAATGTGACACACGGTGTTTTTACACCACTGTAGTGTTTTTACAGAACATATTTTGAAAGGACATCAGAAGTTTATTTTGACACTTCATGCCCATTTCTTGTCTTTCCCCTGATAAAAACCTGGAGATGCTCTGTTGATGCTGCAAAATTAGAACTCCAACCTATTTTGAGCAGTGCATAGCATAATGACGGCTGCTGGATGTGTGTTTGACACTGTCCGACTGGTTAAAATGGAAAGTGATACCTGCTCGTGTGCTGTGCTGCTGCACTTACACACTGTTACTTTTTGGGGTAAATTTGGTTTGACATGGGGCTTTTAATTGTTTATTTTCAAGACACACACACATCTTTCTGACCACTCCTCGTTCTCACCACCACTGCTCTGTTCTTACTTCTTCTTTTATTTTCTTAATTCTTTGTATGAGTAGGATTTGTCAGCGCTCTTTAACAACAAGCTGCAAAAATCTATCGCAGAAGCAGAACTATCTTCCTCCTCAGTCTCTCCATCTTCTTGTCATTAGGACCAGCACCAGTGTCAGACTGATGCAAGTTTTCCTTAACAAATCCCACTGTTTCTACTTGTTTCACGTGTGAGGAGGATTTAAGTCCTCTGCATCCTGGCATGTTCATCCTGGAATATGTCCACACTCCAGGGAGGGAAAACCCTGGTGCCTCCTCTGGAAAACCAGACATTCTATTTACTCAGGACAGTCCCAGTTTTGAGCCCTGTCCTAGGGTGGCCATATTTCCGTTGGTGACAACCCGGACTCCTTGCTGGGAGTGGGGGGTGGGGCCTGGACATTGAGCTACACTCACCTCACAACCTGTGCACAAGGCCTCCCACTTGTCCTGACTGGGACAGAAAACAAGGAATTTCGAGTGCAATTCATCATTAAATACACATTTGCGCTTCGGCATGTTGCAGACTGACTGTTTGTGTCTGCTCGCTCCTTCTGAGTTGCAGAGAACTATGAGAGCCGCTCAATTTAATGGCCCAATGAAAGGAAATGAAAACCCGGACATTTCTATTGCTTAAAAAAAAAAAACAAAAACAAAAAAACTCAGATGCCCAAAAAACGGTCACCCTACCCTGTCCCATTTTCATACAAGAAAGTTGTCCCAATCTGATCCCTGCCAGCAGTAAATAGGGCAAAATAATACCATTTGTTTGCAAAAAATACAGAAAACCATGCTTAAAAATGACCAGGAAAAAATGCATCAAGAGATTGTATAATGACTCACAAATGAGTCAAGAATGGAATGTTACGCTCTTTTCACAGTTTTATTCATACCAACCACCCCGACCCGGGTGTGCCCCAGTTTTGAATTTTGAAAATCTGGTCACTGTAGATAAGATGTTATTTTTTGTCTCTATTATCAGCCTGGTGATGGAGAGGGGAGGTAGAGACTCAGCGGTGAGCGTCGTTTACTGCTCAGACCGGTGGATACTGCTGTTGTGTCCTTGACCTAAGCACTTCACCCGTGTTGCTGAGTGACTGATTATTGGACAATGGACAAACTTTTGCAAGTGACTATAGGCACACAGCATGTATCATGTGTGTTCTTTAACATGCACGATCCTGACTGAAAAGACCACAAACTGCACGAACAAAGGACCGAACACAAATAATGCAAATCCAGTGTAGGAAATTCAAAGATACCTCATATCCATGCACCTGGATCATGAATGGAAGATGATTTCTTCCGGAAAGATTATTGACACTGCCTCAAGTAGACGACTTTAAGTATCTCGGGGTCTTGTTCACGAGTGAGGGGAGGATGGAGCGTGAGATTTACAGGTGGATCGGTGCAGCGTCTGTAGTGATGCGGTCGCTGTATCGGACCGTTGTGGTGAAGAGGAGCTGAGCCGAAAGGCGAAGCTCTTGATTTACCATCAGTCTCCGTTCCTCCCTTCACCTGTGGTCATGAGCTTTGGGTAATGACCGAAAGAACAAGATTGTGGATACAATCAGTTAAGTTTTCCAGCTTTCCACTGCAGGGTGACTGGACGCTTCCTTAGAGATAAGGTGAGGAGCTCAGTCACATGGGAGGAGCTCAGAGTAGAGCCGCTGCTCCTCCACATCAGGAGGCAACTGCATAAGACATCCAGATGAGAACTATATCCACAATCTTCAGACTATTACTGCCGGATTGAGTCGACACCTTAAGCCCTGAAGAAGCCTCTTGGTTAGCAGTGAAACATCTGCTTAATCCAATAGTTACAGTCTAATTAAACTATTTTGGAAGTACTACCATCTATGCCCTTTTGAAACACCAATATTTGTTAGAATCTCGGTGAGGATATTGTGACCAAAATGCTGGGTGTGTTCTGCATATTGAGTGCACATTTCAGCGCCTGCGTTACTACATGTTTTACAAATGGATTCTAATCTGATCCCATTTGGCGCGTCTCACTAAAGCCCTCACTCATGACATGTAAGGAGCCATTGGGACCATCTCTAGCATATCAAATCACATGTCAGATCCTCCCCAGCACCTCTCATCTCCACGTCTCGCCCATGCATGGAGGAGGAGTTAGCATGTCGCGCTAACTGCGTACAGATCAGGGAGGAGAGATGCGCGCTACTCACCATTATATTTAATAATTTGAGCGACGTGAGCTGCGGGGTTGTTAGGAACGACTCCCCCAATAACGCGTGTCACTGAAGCAGCAAATTAACACCGGGCCGAGGGGGCGACGTGGAGGGAGGAGACGGGGGGACGAGATGTAGCGTCTTTGTTAGCGACATGCTCCCAGCGCGGCCCGGCTAATGCTCCGCTAAAGCTAACAGCAGGTGCGCGGCGGAAGATAAATGAGGGGAACACATGAGGGACAAAGGCGAGGCAGTCACGTGTGAGACCCGGCTCCAGGATTAGTCCAAAACTCTGGGAATCCAAGAGAGCAGTTCACTTCAGTCATGTGGACACAGAAGTCAAAGACGCCAAAACGTCTAAAGTGAGTTTACAGGTTTGCTGTGGCTCTGCTGCGTGAAGACTGAGTCTGGGGGAATGTGTTCACAGGAAAAGAAAAGCTGGGACTTGCTTTGAAATCACTTTGAACTTTTCTGGTCTAGAGAAAAGAATTAAGACAAGTGATAGACTCTACATACATCTGCATGTTCTGCCTGTGACTGTAAGACTGCACAAAAAATAAATCAGATAAAATATAAAACAAACAGTGAGAGATACAGACTACATTCATATAATACTCCCTACAACTGTACAACAGATAATACTCCCTACAACTGTACAACAGGTAATACTCCCTACAACTGTACAACAGATAATACTCCCTACAACTGTACAACAGGTAATACTCCCTACAACTGTACAACAGATAATACTCCCTACAACTGTACAACAGATAATACTCCCTACAACTGTACAACAGATAATACTCCCTACAACTGTACAACAGATAATACTCCCTACAACTGTACAACAACTCACACTTATCTAACAGAAATACTCCCTACAACTGTACAACAGATAATACTCCCTACAACTGTACAACAGATAATACTCCCTACAACTGTACAACAGATAATACTCCCTACAACTGTACAACAGATAATACTCCCTACAACTGTACAACAGATAATACTCCCTACAACTGTACAACAAATAATACTCCCTACAACTGTACAACAGATAATACTCCCTACAACTGTACAACAGATAATACTCCCTACAACTGTACAACAGATAATACTCCCTACAACTGTACAACAGATAATACTCCTTACAACTGTACAACAGGCAATACTCCCTACAGCTGTGCAACAAATAATACTACCTACAACTCTACAACAACTCACACTTATGTAACAGATAATACTCCCTACAACTGTACACCCTTACGGAATAATTACTATTATTATCATTTAGGGCTGGGCAAAAATAAAAAAGTATTAATCGTGATTAATCGCATGTTATATGCAAAAACAATGAATGAATTAAAAAGTAGCGTATAGGGCACTTTTATTGTAAATGTAAATGAAAGAGCCAAACATTTGTTGTGTAAACAGTATTTCTTTCAGAGTTGAACCCTCAGAGTCTTCAAGGTTTTCAGTGAAGGCTCAATAAAAATATATTAAATGAATTTTTGTACTAATATATTTTTTCAATATTGTTTATTCAATGAGTAATAAACATGACACTAGTAATAATTTATGGGTGGGATCAAATCACGAAATCTTCCAGACCTTCGTGAACACCCTGTAATAGCGTTATGTATGCGAGACCGCAGCAACGAAAACCACACTGGACAAAGACCCGTGAACCGGAGCACGAGGCCATGTTGGAGCTAGGAGCCGCGGAAGAAACGCTCGCAGTGGACTTTTTCAAAATAAAAGCCACTGAGCAACAGACGTTTACAATAAAAAATAAGTAAATAATAAAAACTGCGTTAACGTTAAAATAATTGTCGGCGTTAATGAATTGATTAGTTATCTCAAAATAACACATTGACGTCCCCGGCCCTATTATAATTACGGTAAAAAAGGAAGCAATGAAAACATAATCATGAATATTCTGTCATGTTGTTTCACTGTACTGTTTTATTGTATTTTTACAGTATACAGGTTTACAGGTAAGTTTGAATATTTTCCATGGATAGAAAGTTTTTACCATGGCATATTTAGGGAATTGTAGTTCACCTTCCAGAAAACCCAATAAACAAAAATAGCATTATAAAAACACATGAATAAATAGTATTAAGCTGTATAAATCCATATAATGCTCCATATAATATTCCACAGTATTAGACTGGTGCTCAGGACTGGGTTGGATCGGCAGGGACTTGGAGTTGCACCATGGAATCCTCCTCCAAAAGTGGAGCCAGTTTTTTCCCAAAGGCCTGCAAGAAAAACATGAATTAGTGCAAGAGAAAACACTAGTGAGGAAATATAAGACATATGATGTCAGCTACAAACATTTTTTTATTTATTTTTTCAAATAAAATAAATAATAACAATAAATATAAGAGAACAAAATCAGAATTTGCGTAAATAATACAATATATGTTTAAATAATGGAATCTAATAATAAGCAAGGGCTTCTAATTCCAATAGTTTGATTTAATGTTTTTAGTCAAAAGAAGTTCACTGTGTACTGCACGCATCTAATGATCAAGTGTTTTATCTTTAGAAAATCATTAAGTATGTGTTATATGGATGTAACAGTGCATGTTGTTTGGTGCGAGACATTCGGTGCAGTGCTGCACACGAGTCAGTTCGCTCAATTTGTGTGTGTTTACATTCTGCCACCGGCCTTGACTACGGTTGTCGCACCACGGTCGCAGATCGGCACTTACTGCACACAATGTGCACAAGTTAGTTTTTGTGGCCAAAAATATGAAGGTTGAGTAAAATGTGATCCTGGAACTGTTAGTGCTTTTATTTTCCTGTTTGTTTAATATTAAAACAAATTGTTGGTTTAATAAACACACAAATAAACAACAATCAAATGGTTTTGTACTTTGTTCCTAAACTGTACTGAAAATGAACCAAACTGTGATCTTAAAACTGGGGTACATACTGAACTGTGATTTTTGTACCATTACACCCCTAACGTGTTAGCATGCTAGTTGTTGTCAGCTTTGCTGTCATGGTAAACTCTGCCTTGACCTCTGAAAACTGTGAAAAGCACTTGTAAAGTCATCATGGTGAATAAAAAGGACGCTCAGAATGCAGTAAGTAAGTGAGGAATAACACTGGTCCACAGCAAACCATTCAAAATGAATCTGTTCTGTTTTTCATGTTTTTAAGACAATAAAAATCAGCTACAGCTTTAGTAAATACAATATATCATTCAGTACAGAGTTGTTGTTTGTTTTTTAACACTAGACATTGCTTTTACAACATCCCCAGATACATCTTCTTGAAATGGACCTAAAACCAAGATTTAAACTCTACCTGATTCTCGGCCAGCGCCTCCTTGGCCATGTAGTGCTCTCTCTTGATCTTTATCTGCACTTCCTCTGGAACATCAGGGACCATTACGTCGATGAGCCTGCCCACGGTGAACACCACATGCTGGGATGGAGGAGAGCAGTTAGCCCCCGGAAACCTGAGCAGGACTAGAGCCATGACAGCGCAGAGTTTAAGACCTACCTCAAACACAATCACAAAGCCCAGTCTGACGGCCAACAGCTCAAAGTACTCAGGCCTGTACTTCCCGTCATCATCCCGCAGATCTTGATACCTGCACAACATAATATTGACTGTTTTAGTTTTCTTTTACAGCGAGATTATGCTTTCTCCCATGTTATTATGTGTCTGAAGTGGTTTTCAGAATCATTTGTGCATGTTTTGAGTAATTGTGGTCTCTCCCCAGAGCTATTTAAACCATCTTTAGTTAGTATGAGACCACATCACTTGTTTACAGACTAAGCCCACAAGCCTACATAACCAGAAAGCTTTCTGCAGTGCTCTCCATACTCCCACCCTGCAGCCCTTGTATAAACATTCTACAGAAACTAATGTACCTTACTAAAATGTAAAATACTTTGCTTTTGCCAGTATAGTATTTTCAAACCAATAAAAGGTAATGCTTTGTTCCTACTTTCATTTAATTCAATCATCTTACAAATGTACCATATTTTTCTGAATATAAGTTGCACTTTTTTCATGGTTTGGGTGTTTCCTGTGACTTATACTCCAGTGCGACTTATATATTAAAATTTTCAGAGGGTGCTCTAGATCAGTTTTCTGTGCATATCTCCTGCAGAAAAAGCCACTGTTCTGCTGCAAGTAGTGAAATATGCAGCAGAAAATGGTAATCGAGCAGCAGAAAGAAAGTTTGGAGTGAGTGAGAAACTTGTGAGGGACAGACGGAAAGCAGGAATGGAGAACACAACTTCACGGCAACTGGGAGGATGCACCATGTAACTTTCCTGGAAGACATGGATGACAAAGCATGGACTTCAGTGACAAACCGAAGTTGCCTGGAGTTGCTTAGAAGTGACATGAGAGAATGAAGAATTCAATGGATTCAGTGGATTTATTGATTTGGAGTGAGATGGAGAGTTTGATAAACTTATGTTCTGTTGTTTATGCTATAATTATCTGATGAACTGTTCATATCTTCCATTAACATATTAACGCCTATTCAGCCTGTTGTTCTTTATTCTGTTGTTTTTACTAGAACTTGCCTGAAATGTCGGTTCCTGGTCTCTGATTTTATAATACACATTTCCCCAAAAGTGCAATTTATAGTACAGTTTGACTTCAATATGTTTTTTCTTCTTCATTGAGCATTTTTTGGCAGGTGCGACTTATACTTCGAAGCGACTTATAGTCCAGAAAATACGGTAGATTTTGCCATAGAAAACCACTAACTGGAAGTTCCACAAACCTACAGCGGGGCACTTCTGGCTGTTGTGGAAAAGGTCTTTTGGATGTAATAAGTCTTTTTACTGGCTGGACAACAGTGTCTCAGAACATTTGAACTTTTCTCATACAAAGCTGGTCAGTCGTGTGTTGAAGGATAAACAACACACTGGATCTGTTGTGTGATGACTTAACAGTGTGTATAAGGACTGGTTAATATCTGGTACCTGTGAAACTTAAAATCAATGTATCGGCATCGCAACTGAAAAGCTGGATCAGTGTATCAGACAAGAACATTGGGTAATAGTGCAGTATAAAAAAATCTAATCTCAATCCAGTTCCTTCAGATAGTTATCTGAATAATTGTTAATATGTTACGTTAACATATTAACGCCTATTCAGCCTGTTGTTCTTTATTCTACTGTTATTGCTATAACGTGCATTTCAGGATAAAATGTCAGTTCCTAATATTAAAAAATAAATTTCCCCCAAAAAGCGTGGCTTATAGTCTGGTGCAACTTATATATGTTTTTTTCTTCTTCATTGCTCATTTTTTGGCTGGTGCAACTTATACTCCAGAGCGACTTAAAGTCAGAAAAACAGGGTAGCTTACAGGATAGCATTTGTTTGGGTTTGGTATTATATTTCTTGCTTTATGCCAACCAAATATCATGTTTCAAATGTGATCTCCCCTTTAGTCCTCCCGGCACTGCCCAGTTTAGCAGCTTGATTTGAAATGTAGTTGTGGGCGGAGTTAAGGTGTTTAGTCCCATGTCAACAATGGACAAGCAGTGAACTAAATCTAAAACTACACACATACTCTTTTAAAGCTGTTTTTATTTACTTGCAAGTGGAGTTGTGGATGTCCATGTAGCTCTTCTGTGAATTGGACAAGGTGAAGTTAGTGAAGCCGCGGAGTGAAGAGTCTCTGGTGAATTTGTAATAAGCTCTGGGCAAAAAGGACGACGTGAAGGCGATGAGGAAGGCCTGCCACACAGAACAACACGAACTACTGTTACACACAAAAACATGGCACAATGTTACTCCCCTAAAGTATTTAGGTATATCAACATTTCTTGAATTACTTATTGCACTTACAATAAAAATGTGCTTGAAACATCTTATTGTAATGGTGGATACTTTCACTTGACAAATATACTACCTCTCCCTCTTGTTAAAGCTCCTGCACAAATGTCTGAGCCCCTGTCCCACTCAATGCCCCACATTTTCATCGATCCCACAGGAATTATAGAAATACAAGAACAAAGACCCTATAGATGTACTGGCTTGACACCCATAGCTATTCCAATCTTTCTGTGAATTACAATACAAAAAAAAAATAAAAATCATAGTGTGTTACAGTAGTTATGATCTCTGTTCTTAAAGGTTAAAGTGCATGTCGTCTGCACTCTTATTGTTTTAGAAAGATCACAGTCACATGAACCTGTGTCACCAGAGCCTTCACCTGCAGATAGAAACATGTTTGTCTCATTCTCAGTTTATGTTCATGTCTCATGTGAAGCTCAGAACCTCCAGAATTCCCTCCCTGAGCTGCAGAGGCTGCACTAGCACTGACTCAGGGTTGGTGCATTCAGATCTGAGAGAGACATTTTAAGTTTTAACACTCTGGATTTTAGCATCCAGACTGGCAACACAAATGAGAGAGTCATGTGAGGCTTTCTGATAATTGGAACATAAATAAATGGCACATCATGCCCAGTGTTCTTAAAATAAACTAAGTTTTACAGTTGTTCTCAGTAAAGGTTATATTTGATTTGAACACTTTTACCTTGTATCTGGGGACACAGAAAAGTCAAGTAAAAATAGCACATACAGTTCCTGAGTCTGTCCCTCTCTCACCACATTCAACAACTTTTTTTTTTTTTTTTTTACATTTTGAGTTGATCTCAACTCAAACTGAAAACCAACAACAACATAAAACCTCGTACATTGGCGACGACGGCGATGTGACTGATGAGCTGCATGATTTGGAGCCAGATGCCGATGTCCTGGGCCTGCTCAGCCACAGGCCTCCTGTACTCAGTCACAAACTTATGAGCGTCCAGACGAATCTCCACCCAGTTATTGATCAGAGCGAAGAGAGGGGCCAGAGGGCATGCTGCGACGAACACGGTGATGAAACCAAACTGCAGCACTAGAGACGAGAGGTGTGCAAAACATTACACTTTAATAGATAGATAGATCATACAAAACTGACTTTTTGAGCTTATGACCATATTTGTAAAAAGCTGTTGAAAACACCTGGAATTGCTCTTGTCATGGCACACAGCATGACATGTCTGCACTTGTGCAGCAGAGTCAGACTGAACTGGATCACTTCAACTTTAAGAACACATACATGATTTGTATTGTTGCTGGATTTAAATGTGCTCTAGAGGACCTTGGCTTTGGCGTTTCATGTTTTAGAACTTGAAATAATGACTAAAGAGCCATACGTTGTTTCACAGCTTTGCTCCACATACAGCAGCTCACCATCTACTGGTAGCAGAAGGAATTACACATGGGGCAAACAGTTAAACTAGCTGATAACTTACATGTCCAAGAAACAGTTATAATGAATGTGATTTGAATGTCTGGTGACGATGAATGCACTTTAAAACTGCACAGGGTGTCTGCCTATGACACAACAAACCTGTGTCTGGAGAGGCTCTGAAGTAAAGCACTTTTTTATAGAGGATTAGTGAAAACAGTGTGAATGATGCTACATACAGCTGCAGGTATGTTTCTGATGAGGGAGCAATGTTATGACATGTTTGAATTGTGCATGCTGTGTCCTTTTACACTGTGTCAATGAAGCAAAAAGCTACATTTTACCACTATCAATATCATGAGCTGGTTAAACCTGAGTCAAACGTCAGTCAAACCAAAGACCAGACCAGGATGAAGACCAGGACTGACCCATCTCCAGGTACTCGTCAAACAGCCCCTCACAGACCAGCAGCTGGTAGTCTCGCTCCCATGGCGGCACTTCTTGTTTCTTCTCCTCATCCTTGCCCTTCCTAAAACTCCGCCTGTGCCACCAAGTCTTCAACTTCCTGCCACAAAGTGAGATGTATTTATTCACCAATATTTACATGCTCAGTATTGTGTAAAGCAGTATTGTCAGTCTATGTGTATTTAAGATCAGTCATTATTACATTTGATTAAACCATGCTGACATTCCATCTTCTGACCTGGTCTCCAGTTCAGTTTTAAAGGTGCACTGTGGAACATTTCTAATGAAGGGTCTGTCTGCTTTTCTACGTAGAGATGCAATTGCTTTGCCTGGAATGTTCCACAGTATGGCTTTAAGATTATCTCTCACCATGGAGACAACAAAATAAAGCCACTCAGGCCAAATAACATTATCTGTGTAGACACAACCCACACTCAAAGAAAAACTCTGTACTGTAAATAAATACATGCAGAATAGGTAAGTTTAATGCCATGATGTGAAATATTCCAGTCAGGATTTGAACCATCCAGCAGAAAAGTTGAATAGTGCACCTTTAAACTGTGGTACATGCAGATAGACAATGTAATTATAAATTCTAATAAATATAGGTTTTCTTTTTGGCACCAAATTGAGGTGGAATGCTCTCTAAGCTGTGCTCATATGACTTCACAATTTAAAATGAACATTGGCACAGCCTGTGGGTCAAAAAGATGAGGTTTAGATGTAGAGTTTGTTAGTGAGAGTTGAAACCCTCAGTGACGTACGGAGTGAGGAGCTCTTGGACGTTGTTGATGATCTGTTTTCCCACCATGATGACCAGAAGCTCCTGAGCCAGTTGTATGAGACAACCTCCTGCCCCACACTGGAACACAACAAAGCAGAAAGATTATGTGGTTGCCATGGTCGCAAATGGATGCTCTTGTGGTTGACTGGATGGCACACTGAACTTTTTTTTTTTTATTATTATTTTTTTTTTTTACATGTTACATTTTAATATTTCAGAGCCAGTGAGCTCTGGCATACTACAGACTTTTTACAACAATGCAACCGGCTTTCTACACTAAATATGGCCTCATGTCCGACCAAACAACAGAGCAGACAGAGAGGCTTGGAAGAGGATTTCCTGTTCTGTGTCCAGTGTTCACTTGACTCCCCCTGGACGCTGCTGTAATGTTGCAGGACACAGAGGACGGACACTTTTGTCCTAAGGGCTGTTACTCTCCTCAAACTGCACACCGGATCTGATGACTCTGACTTACTTGGAGGTTTTCTATTGTGATTGTGTTTTACTGCTCAGTGTTCTTAAAGTGATTTGATTGATTACCTGGATTACTTAAAGGGTCAGTAACCTTTTCCTGTGGATGATGTGCCACTTGTTAGTCTTCATAGAGATGTTATTGCTTTGCCTGAAATATTACAGTGTGAACAGACAACCACACTCACCGGAAGAATCTCCATGGAGACAAGCTAGTGGTGAATTCTCAACCAAAGGTTACATAGTGCACCTTTAAATGTAAAAAATACAACTTGTACAGACATTAGATCTGATCAGACTGGATAGCAGCTCTTTAATTGGTTAATCCTCCTTTTTCATTTCTCAGTAGGTCTAATTCATATTTTTGAGTGTGTCTCAGTGTAGGTCACACAGAATGAGTGAAAAAAAAAAAAAAAAGATTCTTTTATATTTTATTGCACTGTGCAGAGAGTCAATTATAAAATACTCACATCTTCATTGCGGACCCCAAACAGAGTGTTGTATTTTCCAGGGACTCCAACAAACCTGTACCAAAACAAGACCATGAGACCAGGATTATCCAGGACTGGTTTGCTTTAAGAAGACGTCAGAGAGAGAGAGAGAGAGAGCACCTGCCCTTGAAGAAGGCGATGTAGACCGGGGATGAGTAAAAGTTGACAAACTGGAAGATGAACACTTTGAGGGTGAACATGTCCTCGTAGTCACTCTGAGTACGGTGCATCTCTGGAACAAGAACACCACAGCGATGGACGAGACGTTTAGACCAACCAAACTGTGATCTACAAGAGCAGTCTCAAGTATGGACACTTTTTCATTTATGTTTCTTTATTTCCATGATTATTTACGCCACTGAAGGCATCAAAACTATGAATTATAAAATTAATTATAATATATAAAATATAAAATGACTAGTTATTTTATTTTTTCTCTACATTATTCCATATATCTTACATCATATATTTATCTTTCATATGTATCTAAAATGTAAAAAGTAGAAAACATACACACTGAAAAAACATTGAATGAGGGAGTGTCCACACTCTTGACTGGAGGTGTATTCAAACTAAAACATTATTCAAATATAAAGGTCATATTTAAATGGTTTGATCCTCACCCCAGCGCGTCAGGATATGGGCCAACATGGTGTAGACTCTGGACAGAATCAAGATCACCACAAGATTCAAAACTGAACCAGAGAGACTGGCGATCTTGGTAGCCTGGACACCAAGCACAGGGACCCCACTTTAGATCGCCCAACACAACATATTATAAGATGAATAAGTTTCACTTTGTTTTTTGATGCTCTGAGTCAAATGTCAAATGAGTCAAACCCTTCACAGCTCTAATGAAACATTACATCAGCTTTGTAAAGCTGTAGTTTATTGTTTTACATCATATTTTGTATATTTATGGAGAACAAACTCTATTCACACTTACGTCACAAATCAGGAAGATGTTTAGAAAGATGTAATTACAAATTCCGGTGTAGTTCCCAACACTGGACTCACCGACCAACTGTGATCAAACCCACTGAAGTAAATGTGATCAGTGGAAAAATGAAGACTGCAGATGTATGTGCTGTTTGGAATCATCTACAATGACATGTAGATGAAGAAAACTGGGATATTTTCTTATTTTCCCTAGATTTTGTCAGACTTACTACCAGAAGTTGTAATCACATCTTTCCAAACATCTTCCTGGTTTGTGACATAATGTGAATAGAGCCTACTCAATTACTCAGACGTGTATAGATGACATCTAAAACCTCTTCAGTCATGGTTTTGATGAGGGAACAATCTTATAATATGGTAGAAAACTCCAAAAAGATTTTGAGTAATGTCATGTCTTTAAGATTTGACTAAAACTCTTTGGGCCGTATCTTGCCCCCAGTCTCAGCGCTAGTGCAAGTGCAGGGCGTGGAGTTCTAAACAGGAGGTGTTCTGTGTCTGAATATCAGGTGGAGTGGAGCAGACTGAGGGCAGGTGTGGTGTGTTTAGAGAATTGCTAGAAGTGTAAAAATAAATAAATAAATAATAAAAATAATAAATACATTTGCTGAAAAACAATGTGTAACATGCTCAAGGCTTCTTTTATTTGGAAATATATTAGGATGATAACTGCTTAACATTCATAACATGTTGGTGTTCTGTGTAGGAGTCGTCTGGATGCCCTCCCACAGCAGAGCACAGCCCCTCGCCCGCTCCCTGTATCTCCTCAGCTCTGCTCTGTAGTTCGGTTTGATCTGGATCTGTACAAAAGCTGCTCATTCACATGAGGCTGTTTACATCGATGTCCTAAAGTCTGTTTTCTTACTCTGTCTGTGTCCTAATGCTGCAATTTCATTTTATTCACATTCTCGCGGCTGGACTCCGCGCGCACATGCACTGACAGCTCGAGGCTGTGACAGCGGAGCAGACGCACATATCATATCTGTGCACAAAGCTGTAACATCAGAAACATTTATATGACAATAAACAAATTCCATTATCCGCAAGACTTCCACCTGTGTGGGCCCAAATGCACTGGACACGAGTGAGAAGTAAAGAGCAGGTCTGCTGTGGGATGGGGAGCGCATGAGAGACACTGGCCTTAAACGAACGCAGAGAAAACTATAAAAGGTTGATGTGTGCACGCGTGCATGGGCTTACATCGGTGTGTGTGTGAGAGGGGCGCATGTGTGTGCGGAGTGTTCGTAACACAAACCCAGTCAGTTCTGTCATGGCCCACACAAAATTCTATACTGTCCCACTCCAGCCTCCAGCAGTGAAGTACAGCCCCACCTGCGCTTTGCTCTAAGACTCGGAGAAAGATACGGCCCTTTGACTATTAGTTTATGGTTTGATTATTTTGGTGAGGTTTCTAATTGTATGTCCCTGTTGACACGAGCGGCAGATATGACGTAGAGGGAATTGCATAACTGTTACCTGCAACCACAGTGTCAAAATGGTCAAATCTTTTCTAAAGTTTAAAAACAAATGTACACAATAGATGTGAATCAACAACTGAAAAATACATGACAGGATCTTTATTTTGATATATACATAATGTGTCCCTTGCTTGTGAATTGTCCCTAAATTTTGGTTTCGATGACACTGATGGAAGGATTCTGTTTTAGCGCTCAAGTTACTTAATGTAATTTCACATTCTATTTAACAAAATCTTCATCAGCTGACACAAAGTCATAATTATAAAAAGAGGAAAAACTGTGATATTCCCTTAAAGAGACTCACTGAGTCAGAGATGAACCCGGTGGTGGAGTTGTAGATGAGCAGAGTGATGATGGAGCGGTACAGGATGATGGCGGTGAGGAAGATCAGCACTACAGCGATCTGCAGAAGAACAAGGTTTACATGACCAAGAACATCCCCCTGCCCCCCTGCCCCCCTGCCCCTGCCCCCCTGCCCCCCTGCCCCCCTGTCCCCGTCCCTCAGTACCATAATGATGAGGATGGAGAAGCTGGTGAGGGTCCGGTTCAGGCGTGACCTGTTGGGAAAGTAGGGTTCTTCGGCTCCTGTCACTGGGTTCCTGATGGTCATTGGAGCCATGGCTGTGAACTCTGGACGTGGACGCTCCTACAGGAAAAACACGAGTATCAGGCAAAGGCTTGGTGCAGGTAAAACGTTCATTCTCTAGATTTAGTTCCCTCATCAGTTCCCTTCCCACAGAGTGTCAGTCTGAAGAAGTCCTCATTGCACAAGTTCCACGAAGAGGAGAGGTGGTGGTTTTAGGACTGATGGTGTTTTTGTAACAATTTCAAATATTCAAATGTGGCTCTTGTGAGATATAATCCATGTTATAATGTTATTGAAACATCCTCAAAAACAGACCTGGAGTTGTGTTTTCTTTCATTCACACATGTCTGAGTAACTCTTTATGATTACTCTGTCTACATCTTCAAATGCTCTGTTCCACCTTGAGAAGTTAACAGCTCCAGTATCTTTCACCTTCAGTTCAGAGGAGATTGGCAATGATCATTTCAGGGTTATAATGATCCAAATGATTCTCATGAAGGTGTATGAAGTTTAACAAACAGTGGAGCACTTCCTGTATGACATCACAAGGTGGAACAGAGTGTGTGAATGCTTCCTTGCCCAAAATCCCATCTGCCTGCCCTCCGCCTTTTCTCACACACACACACACACACACACACACGCACACACACACACACACACACACACACACACACACACACACATATATATTTATTTATTTAAGTGCATTCAGAAATGACTTTCGCAACAGTAAATAATTTCCAACTTCATGCAGGCCTAATTGTGGCAACTTTTAACTGAACATCAGTAGGTCAACAGAACAAAACCAGGACTAAACCAGGTCTAAATCAGGACTAAACTAGGACTAAACCAGGTCTAAACCAGGACTTAAACTAGGACTTGAGCGAATGAGAGGGAGAACCTTGAGCCCGCGGAGCAGAGAGTCCACAAAGCGTGATCGGGTGACGGCTGCAGTTAGCTCCAGAGCTCTGTGCTGGTCCTTTTTTCTGTGATCACCTGACAGTCTTCTCGGGCACACCTCTGGGCCCATCCAGACACTCAGTCCAGGTTCAGTTCTGGTTTAGTTCTGGTTTAGTCCTGGTTTAGTCGCACTCCCCAGTGGCTTTTGGCATTTTTGGCATTAAAGTAGTGAGTGGTGGTCGGAGGGGCAGACGGGGCAGATAGGCAGCCTCACTTCTATCAGTCTGCCCCAGGACAACTGTGGCTACAGCAGTGTCTTACCACCATCAAATGTGGAGTGAATGAATAATGGTCTGAGTTGCATGTAAAAGAGTATTATATAAATCCAGTACATTCTGAAGGGAGCACAGATGTAAAGACGGTGTCAGAGCTGAACATGACGGGATGAACATTTCCACTTCTTGTTGCTCTCTCTGTCAGACTGTATGTGTGGTGCTGGTGTGTTGGCTGGTGATGCTGATGGTACCTCAATGTCCTGGAAGCTGGAGCAGTCCCAGCGCAGGGACAGGATTGAACCTGTCCTCTTCCAGTACTCCAAGAACGTCACCGCCCACAGAGACATGAAGACGGACAAGAAGACTGTGCCGCCATTGTCAAACAGAAGACCTGCCTGTGCACAGGAACACAAACACACAACACAAGACAGTCATTAGTCCAAGTTTATTAAGAATGATCAGGTTTAGTTACTCAATAGAAGTTCAGTCTTTAATTGTTGCTTTATTACATCTGTTTAAAATGCACATAAATAGTTTCTTTTCTCTTTTGAATGCTGTAGCAGATGCATCAAGTACTATGTAGAATAGTAGAATATTTGCATAAATGACAAGGACTATAGTGGGTACCAGTATACACGCATCAAGAATTTCAGACTTGTGGTCATTACGCAATTCATACTGGGAAGGATTTTCCTAAAAAGTGAGCATCAAACCTCCATGTTTGTTTTCCCAGTGGGATGTGTCTATTGACTAAAACAGTATTTTCTTGTCTTTTGAACCATGTCACTTTTGTTTCTGGTTCTGATATTGTCATATTTTAGTTTTGGGATTCAGACATTGTAATTGTGTGGTTGTTGGATCCTAACAGCAGAAAACGGCTCGAGAAATTAGTTTGTGATCTCCATAAATGCAAAAGGGAATCAGATGTGTGTGACTGTAAACCTCTGTTTAAACTGTTTCTCTTCACAACGGAATTGAAAAATAGTAAAAGGTGAAGGTGATGTGCAGGACTGATCCACAGGAAGGACCAAAAAGGAAACCTTTGGCTGCCTAAATCATACCAAGTTTACAGTGAACATTTTGTATGTGGAGCATCATCAAAGCAAAATCCCGATCCCTCACTCAACCTTGGTTTTGAATGTGAAAAGTCAACGCCAAAGCAAAAGGCACCAACTGTTCATCAAGAAACAACTTCCACTGCAAAGAGACCAAGACGTGATGTTGCTGTAAAACCACAAGAAGAAGAAAGTGCAGCTCAGTCAGTTTGTCTTCTGCTCCTCTCACTTAACAAATAGGATTCCACTTTTGATGGCTCCACATACAAAATGTTCGCTGCAAACTCAGGATGATTTAGGGAGTCAAATGTTTCCTTTTTCGTCTTTCCTGTGGATCAATCCTGCCCATCACCTTCACCTTTCACTATTTTTCAATTCCATTGAGAAGAGAAACAGTTTGAACAGAGGTTTGCAGTCACACACATCTGATTCCCTTTTGCTTTTATGGAGATCACAAACTAATTTCTCGAGTAGTTTTCCGCTGTTAGGATCCAACAACCACACAATTATGATGTCTGAATCCCAAAACTAAAATTTGACAATATCAGAATCAGAAACAAAAGTGATATGGTTCAAAAGACTAGAAAAGATCAACTTTGACAATAGACACATCCCACTGGGAAAACAAACATGGAGGTTTAATGTTCACTTTTTCAGAAAATCTTTCCCAGTATGAATTGCGTAATGACCGGAAGTCCGAAATTCTTGATGCGTCTATTGGAATACATTAAACTTATTGGAAACATTAAAATTAATATTAGGCTATTTTTTTTTTCTAATGTTTGTTCTAATGTAGTTTCCTCATCACAAACAGACCTGGAGTTGTGTTTTGTTTCATTCACACATGTTGAACACACAACTTCTACATACTCTCAAATGGAAAACACTCTGTTCCACCTTGTCATGTCATATAGTAATACAGGAAGTGCTCCACTGTGTTTTTAAACTCCATACACCTTCACTAGAATCATTTAAATGGTTTCAGCTGTGGAATTGCCAAACTCTACTGAAGTAAAGGCCAAAGGAGCTGTTAACGTGGAAACTACTGCTTCATGAAGATAGACAGATACTTTGACGTAGACAGACTGATAGTAAAGAGTTACTCAAACATTTAAACTACATCTCAACATCTTCATTTATTTTGTATCCATTGTAAACATGTATGTACTCCCCCTGCAGTGAAAACAGCACAGTACCTTGTAGGTGAGGCAGATGCTGGAGTAGTTCCAGAAGGGGCAGATTTTGCACACGGGACACATGACCAAGGAGCCACCACTGTCACACACCTCCCTCCTACACACACACATACACACACACACACACACACACACACACACACGTCAGAATGCACGTGAGTCACACCAACAAGTAAACAAATAAATAAACAAACAAAAAGCACACAAACAATCGTATAGACAGATGCTAATAAACAAAGACCCACACACACACACCACAAAAAAAATACTAACTCACATAAGGGTCCGGTCAAGCAGAAGTAAACAACAAGGCCAAAAATTCAAGTTAATGCATCTGATATAAAAATGTATTGAACAGATACATATGTACTCTAGTTTATGAAACTGTTGACCTTTTTTCTGTACCATTTTTGCTTCTAAAGTTCCATCCGTTTTAAACAGACCATGTATGAAACATGGAACAAAAATTATTTTCCAAATTTCAAAGACCTGCAAATCATGTAAATAAATGGATGTATTTCATCATATCTTGTGTTATTCCATCTTTGAACTGTTGATGAAGGTACATGATTTTTCCAAAAAAAACATGTATTTAAAATGATAAAAATTTGCTTGGAAGGACTGACATATTTTATAGAAATAGTTTCCTTTCATTTTGAAGTAATATTAAAGTATTCGGAAGAAAAAAACTGACAAATGATGTAAAATCCTGCACCTTCTACTTGCTTGAACAATTTTCCCTCTGTTACTTTTCCCTCCGTTACCATGACCTTTCTTACTAAAAAATCTCATGAGTCAAAAAGTAAGAGGTTTTTCAACCTAATCTTGTACCATATGGTAGAAAACTATATGAAGCAAATATTCAAACCAGTTTGTTAAGGATATGGAAGTGAGAACCAAGAGTTATCACTGTTTGGATTTATTGCCCAAAAAGTGCTGCATATTTCATTCCCTCCGTTACCGACATGAGTTTTTTAATTTTTTGTCAACAACTTGAAAGAATATCACAGGTTTAACTTGACCCTGTTGGAGTGTAACTCTTTCCTACATTCTGATACTTTACTTATTTCAATAGTCCTGAATAGTTTCTGAATAAGAGACATTTGAATGTCAAAAATCTGCCCCTGTTTCCCTCCAATACTGCTTGACCAGACCCACATACAAAAACACACAGAACTCAAAAAACAGACAATCATATAGGCAGATGCTAATAAACAAAGACACTCTCTCTCTCACACACACACACCACAAAAAAATAAATAAACTAACGCTAAAAAAAAAAAGAGAGAGAGAAACAAAAATATAAGCAAACACAGAAATACACAAAAAACAATCATACAGACAAACCTGTACACACAAAAACACACGAGCATACACATAATCAAACCAACAAACAAAAACCTAAGCAAATACACAAAGAAACAAACAAAGATTTCAACTTACGCTGGTTGGTCTGTGTGCATGACCCAGAAGCCCACGAGGAAGATGAACAGCCCCATGACCGCGGCCGGGAGCAGCCAGCCCGTGTAGAACCCTGAGGACAGGTCAGTGTCAGACAGAAGAGCTGCTTTTCCTCACACCCTCCACTCAGAATCCTACTGTTTAAAACGGGCCACACAACAGGCGCTGCACAGTCACACAAACTCTCAACACTAATGCAGCTTGTATGTAGGATGATCACTCGTCTGGATTTCAGCCGGACAGTCCAGTTTTAGAGCCTTCTGTCTGGACCTCTGTTATGCATCCTCATTTTTGATGTTTTGTCCTCATTTCGGATCCTCGGCCGCCACCGTTGCGCGCATCACCACAAATCCCCACATTCAACATTCAACATTCAATCTGGCAACAACACGAGCCACCAGCGCATGCACCAGCGTGGTATCGCCGCATGCGTCATTAAAATAAGACAAACACTTGGCTGCGCATGTCTCCTGCAGATAGAGCCGCTGTCCCTTTTTTTTTGTTTGTTTGTTTTTTTGCAAACTATGTACATTACAACAAATACCACCAAACAACATACAAGATACAAGACAGACACATTACAATTGAAGATTACACACAAACAGGGACAAAGGTGACAGTGTGAACCTTATGTGTGTGTGTGAGTGTGTGTGTGTGTGTGTGTGTGTGTGTGTGTGTGTGTGTGTGTGTATGTGTGTGCACAGACAGGCTATGCGGATGATTTACTGTTGACCTGTATTATTACTAGTTAATTTGAGTATTGAAAATTTGTTAAGTGTGTTTTGCCTCAGATCTCCACTCAAGTTGGAGCAGGCCGAGCCACGCCCACGCCCCCCATGGCGAATGCGCGGGTCACCCCCAGGGCCCCACATGTGACCGCCCATCGACCAGGTCGGCCAGCCCCTCGACGAACCACCTCCTGATCTGACTGCTCCCCCTCCCTGATATATATGTACATGTGCATACATTGCACACATGCACACATGCACATGCACACACCTGCCTGCACAGGAACATGCACACACATCCACATACACACAAGCCTGCACACACACTCACACATTCACACACATGAGAGCCACTGTCCTGTCTGTACATGGACCAGTTTGATCTCTTTTTACTGGACAATACACTTTTGGAAACAGAACCAACGGGACAGTAGGAGTAAGAGGCTTGTTTTCATTAGTTTGGGGCAAATCTGAGGATGGAGCCTCACAGGTAAATAGCGTTATAGTGTTAAATAGTGTTAAATTGTGTTAAATAGTGTTATAGTGTTAAATAGTGTTAAATAGTGTTAAATAGTGTTAAATAGTGTTAAATAGTGTTAAATAGTGTTAAATAGTATGTAAATGAGCGTCAGAGTCATGCCGGTGGTCACTCTACTTGTATTACAAGTGTAAAATATAAAATAAACAACCTGTTAGAATTGAAATAAGGACCACCTGATTGTGATGTAGATTAGTCACTGCAGACAATTACTACTATTACTACTATTGTTATTATGCCTCAAAATTAGCATTAGCACTGAGACTAAAACATGCCTCTTTGTGAACACAGAAGTGCCCTCCATGTTCACAAAGGGGAAATATTGAAGTATGAAGTATTCACCTCATTAGGCAAAGTGTTTAACATGTTGTGAGTGACATCCTCGTCAGTCCACCGTCCACAGCCTGATCTTTAAATATTGATTAATTTAATGCTAAAGACTAGAGGACAGGAAGTAGTGACAGTAACAGTGAGGAGGCCAGGAGCTGCACACAGCAGAATATAACTGTGCTGCCATAAGATGTCTGATCAGATCATGTCACCATATACAGCAAGACTTTTAAAGACATTGTTTATAGTCTTGAGGAGCTTATTGGATAAAAGTCACAAGAGCTAAAGCCAAAAAACCAAGATCTCACCAAGCCAGGCAAAGTACAGGGCAACCTTCTCCCCAAAGTACTCGCGGATGTGGTCCAGAGGCTGGTACTTCCTCCAGCAGCTCCAGGCTGCCCAGTGAGAGAAGAGCACCTGCCGCAGGGTCAGGGGCTGAGGGGGGGTCCCAGAGCAGGACTCCACACTGCCCTGTGCACAGAGGAAGGTACAGACATGGAGACAGATTCTGCTGAAGGTCACAATTCATGCTGAATAATTCATGATAAAGTAAAGTTCTAAAACAAGACCATTCATAATAGTTTGTTAGTGAGGCTGGGGGTTAAGGAGTAATAATAACAATACTTCTACACGTTGTAAATGTTATGGTACACTTAAACACTTAAAGGTACACTGTGGTACTTTCTGGAGGTGGAACATCACTTGCTTGATTCCACAGAAATAGAAAGTTAAAGTCATACTTCAGAAATCTCCTTGGAGAGTTTAATGCCATACTGTGGAATATTATAGTCAAAGAAACATCTGCATGGCCCAGTAAGACACATACTACTAAACATTTTTAGTCTAATATACACAATCAAAATGAAAAAATAAAACATTCTATTACAGTTATACAATATAAACCATGTGAAGAGTTCTTGTGTCCACACTGCACGTGCTCTGCTGTGGAACAGGCCGGACTGTGGTGTACAGTCGACATAATCCAGAGCTCACACTGTAATCCAATCTGGTTTAAAAATGACACTGCATTTCTTTAATCACCTTTTCCAGTATTCACCAATTTATTGGAAGAAATTGACTCGATCTTCCTGTTGGATACCAGACCCTGGAGTGATAACAGCCCATTACAGTAATGCCCTGATATGTGTCAGTGCCGGTGTACACAGTACATGGTACACAGAACACAGTACAGTACACAGTACACTGTAAACTGTACACAGTATACACAGTAGGTACAGACCTGGTGCAGGGGGAAGGCTGCGCTGAACACGTTGTCATTGATGAGTCGGTTGATGCCCACCTGCCCCCTCCTCACTGAGCCGTAGGGCGTGCGTGACAGGATCTCATACAGCTGCACACACACACACACACGCACGCACACACACACACACACAGGGAGGATCACTAGTGCCCGTGGTTATTTACACTTGTTCTATTCAGACTAAACCTAGAACTATACCTGTATACTATATATATACTAGAACAGGATCAAACCGAGTCTACATAAGAACTGACCTGAACTATGGTGTAATGATACAACAAAAGCTAAAAGTGAGGTTAAGGTTAAGGTACAATTTATTATTGTCACTGTAGTGAATTTATCTTCAGGGCAGTCTTTTGTGATGTCACCAATTACTGGACATTGTAGAAGCCACTGAAGGCAACATTCACTTCAGTTTAGACCAGAAAGGTGCACATTTACTAAGCACTCAAGTTGCTAAAAACCACTATAGGAACAAAAGTGATACTTACAACTTGGTGTCGCTGTGTGGGCTTAAAAAAGTTGTCCCTGTCATCACTGCCCAGAAACCTGAATAAATCAGATCAGAGTTGTTTAATTGTGGCTGTAGTGTAATGTTGTAATGTGGTGTAAAGTTGTTTTAAAAGGGCAGCACCTGTCCAGCTTGTTGGCTCTGAACTCACAGGTGTAGTAGTCGGGGGGGGTGAGGGGGACGTCGTGGCTCAGGAGGTTTGGGATGGACAACTTCTGCATGACTTTTTCAGACCAGTTCAAATTCTCTGAATTTATGACCTACAAAGAGGAAGGAGTCAATGTGAAATTTTTGAACAGCGACAAAATGAAACTACTGCACATTGCATCAGGTTTTGAAGTTCTAATTTTGTATCATGTTTTTGTATATTTATGGAGAATTAACACGCATGAGTATAGGTGATGTAGATTTGTGGCCTGAGCATTGGACAAAGTCATAGGAGAGATCACTAGATAACTCAAAGACGCATGTTTTGGATGAGGGGGCAGCATTATGACATGGTAGAAAGCTCCAAAAGGTTGATTTTGCATAACACCTCTCTTTACTTTTCTTTATTTGATATCACTAATACTTCACAACATTCACTCCCATTCCAGGTGCAGGGTGTGTTTCAGTGCATTTAAAGGTTGTATGGAGGATTTTTTTATTTTTTAGTTTCAAATTGTCAGTGAAAGTTTAAAATACCATTAGAGAGATGTAGCAGCCTTGTAATTATGATGACCAAAAAAAAAAAAGAATGAAAATCTATCAACTGTGGACGTAGTGACGCCAGATAAACATCAGCCAATAGACAACGAGGCTCCCTCTTTATCTGTTGGCTGTTAGGTTGTCAATCAAACTCCTGACGTTTCTAGTGTAATCGACTTGCCGGCGTCAGTGTTGGAAGTAACGCATTATGAAAGTAACAAATTACAGCAATGCATTGGTTTTTGTTGTAACACAGTAATGTTCGGCATTACAGGGAAAAAAAATTAATATTTTACTCGGTACAAATGTGAATAACGCACGTTACAATGTTTTTTTAACCTGTATTGAAGTGGTGGGTTTTTCTTCATACAAATTCGCTAAAATCACCACGATATCAGCAGCGGGGAAACCGGAGACGCGGCCGCGTAGACCTTCAGGTAATCGCGGTGGAAAAGACCAACGCAGAACTCTACACTGTTTAGACCTGGTTTAGATCTGGTTCAGTTCTGGTTTAGACCTGGTTTACAGTCATCCGAAGTGCTGTATGTTTGTAAGTTTTCTCCCCGACAAAACCCACAACGTCGACGAAAAGTTCTGCACCGACAAAGGCTCCTGCGCTTGCACCCAAAAGGCAGAAGAAGATGCTCACCATCGCACAAAAAGTTGGACTTCTGGACATGCTGAAGAAGGTAGAAGTTACACACTATAGCAGAGTCTTAACACTGGGTCGGGTACCCGCAAATAGTTGCTGAAATCAGGGCTGCGAGCCCGCGGAGCACGGTGTCCATAAAGCGCGTTCGGGCGACAGCCGCTCTTACCTCCGTGAGGTGCAAAGCAGAGCTGGTCCTTTCTCCTGCGGTCACCTTCGAGCCCGTCCGGACAGTGAGTCCTGTTTTAGTCCTGGTTCAGTTCAGGTTTAGTCCTGGTTTTGTTCTGGTTTAGTTCTGGTTTGGTCTTGTTTTAGTCCTAGTTCAGTCCTGGTTTATTTCTCCTCTTCAGTCCTGGAATCAGTCCGAGGTTAGTCCTGTTATAGTCCTGGTTCAGTCCTGGTTCAGCTCTGGTTTACTCCTGGTTTAGTCCTGGTTCAGTCCATATACGGTGCAAATGTTCAGCATCTTCGCAGTTATTTTGGTGACAGTAACTTAAAGTAATGCAATAGTAATGTAATGCCTTACATTTTAAATGCAGTAATATTGTAATATAACAAATCAGTTTGAAATGACAGTAATAAGTAATAAATAACGCATTCCAGTTTTAAAGTAACTTGCCCAACAGTGACCAGCGTGCGGGGATTACATGGTTTATGCAGCGGTTCTTAGAGGCTTTTTCAAACTTCCCTTAAAAAATCCTCTATACAACCTTTAAGTCGTGTACCTGTAGTGGTGCCCTGAGGCTGATCTCCTCTGCATAGAAACACATCACATTCCAGGGGGCGCTGAGGAGCACAAAGTACAGACGCGACTTCACCTGCTCCACTTCCCTCTGTCACAAACACCCAAACACAATACATCCAGGCGTTTTGCATTGTTCTGAACCAAATGACCGTGAATGAAAAGAACTACAAACCTTTTCGATTAAAAGTCCAGAGTGCGTCAGTCGGTTCAGAAACGCCTCCCTCCATTTGGCGTGAATGACACTTTCTGAGTTAGACTCCTCCTTCTGTGCTTCCAAAGGCTCCTCCCACACCAGCACAAAATCTGACCAATCAGACGCCAAGAACATCAATTCATTAATTAAAGCGCCAATGTGCAATGAGGGAAGGATTTCATGCACTTTATAACAAAATGTATACCTACAAATCTGTTGTAAATTAACTAATCATTTAATCATTCATTTTCTGCTTTTTTTTTTGCTCTTATTTTATTTTATTGGTTTTACTGTTTTAAGTCCAGTATGATTAAATCTGAGTGTTTATTGTGTTCGTATATATTATATTGTTGTTATTAGGATGTATTTGTGCTGCACTTTGTAAACTTGTGAAATGTGCTATATAAACAAAGTGCATTGAATAAAGTGGATTTACTAAAAATACCTGCTCATTAACAAGAGTTTAATCATTTTTTATGATTAAACATGGACAGGACAAGAGTCATTACTTATTAATAAAAGATCCATAAATGTTTATTAATCATTAACTATTCATGCACTAATAATGACAATGACTTGACTTTTTGTTTTGTTTTTTCCAAGTAAGGATGATTAGTTAATTTTAGTTTCTTGAGTAAATTATTTTTAATGGGTAATAAGCATTTACAATAAACATTTACAAATGATTTGCACTTATGCCTCATCATAAAGTCTTACCAAAAGTTATTACAACCACATACTCTGCAGATAGAGACACATCGACGTGTGTCTCATTCTCAATATTTGGACAGACTAAAACACAACGGATTCCAGGCACTCCAAAAAAGTAGAAAAAGTAAAAAATCAAGTTAAAAAAATTGCACAAGGAAAAATATAGTTAAAAGGCCTTTATTTGAATGGCCAAAGCCGACATGTTTCGACCTTAACTAGTCTTCATCAGGGCTTAATTAAAACAGAACATGGGCATGGCCTGCAAGTAAAACACATCAACCAATAGCAGGCTGGAGTCAATTGGAGGCAGACAAAACAGGTGCACAATCAGCAGCACAGGACATGGTACAGGCAAAAAAAAAAAATAAAAAATTTATGTAAACACAATACACACATAAATGTGCACACTAATATAATAAAGAAAATAAATACATAAACAAAAATCATAACAAACATTATCATTACCAACATTATCAACAGTAGTTTACCATCACCAGGTATAGAGTGAATGAATAATATATATGCTGAATGTAATGCTCTGTAAAAGCGTCTTTGTGACAAAAATGTCTGTGAAAAGCACGATATAAATGGGGACTTACTTACTTACCATTAATGTTTCCATTATTATTGTTACCAATAATGTATTATTATTTATTGTTTTTATAATTATTTTTAAATTTTTATAGTATTTTATTATATTAGTGTTATTATTTTTATTATTATTGCCATCATCATTATCAATAATAACCTGACCGTTTGGACAGACTGTGTCTCATGTGAAACTCAGAACCTCCAGAATTCCCTCCCTGAGCTGCAGAGGCTGCACTAGCACTGACTCATGACTGGTGCAGGTGCTGGGGTTTAGAGAGAAACCTTTCAGATCAGAGAGACACATTTTAGGTTTAAACACACTGGGTTTCAGCATCGAAACTGGCAACACAAATGAGAGTGTAATTAAGAATAAGTCAGTATTACAATTGTTCTCATAGGTCAGTTATGTTTGTGGAAATTTAAATCACACGTATGCTTCTTTTGACGAAGTTGTGTTAAGCTGTTTCCTTATTGTTTTAGGTTGTGTGTCATGTGATTTGGCTGATATTTGTATTGAACATTCCTCTGCATCTTATCTAGCTTTAATCACGCAAGTTTCTGTTTCTGAATCAGTAAACAACTTTTGCAATGTCGTTATTTTTATTTTCGCACTTGGATTTTCTCAAAGCAGGCGTCGTTGCGTCCTGGGATAAGCCTGTGTGTGTAACAGGAAAGGACAAATCCATACACTGAATAACCTGCTCGTACAGTATACACTTTTTAAACAATGACAACAATCTTCAGCAGCAGGTCTTCTATAACGTCTTAAAGAAAAGCAGACTCACCAACTTTTGTCTTCCCGTCACTGAAAACATTCTGGTCTGGGGGCTGCGCTGGTACATTCTAGAAAACAGCAACAGAAAATACATCAAAATAATGACATTGTTTTGTATTATATCGTCTAAATTCACCTCCATTTCAGAAGAACATGTTCGTCGTCCTTAGAGCAAAGACTCTTCTGGCAAAAATGCACAGTAAAGTTTGGTGTATTCCCAGCCCTCTATTGTATAAAATACTTTTACTCCCCTAACATCCCAAGCTCATTATGACATTATCCTCGTTTTAATCTGCTGATTGTACTTCCTGTTCCAGGGCTTCCTGTTTCCTGTCAAGCCAAGCTAAAACACTTGAGCTTTTGTTACTCTTAGTATTAGCGCTATGTAAACAACAGCTAGACTTGGACAGAACTGTATTCATCCACAAGGAACAGGACTTGGAAACAGTTCACACATTACAATATGAAAAAAAAAAAAAAAAAAAAGGTGAAAATAATAATAATACCATAAATAAATAAATAAATAAATGGCAATACAATTTAAAAATAATATTAGTAGCAATGTTACAAAATGTTCCAAAAACATTTATATATTTAGATAAACCAATATTAGTTATCAATTGGATGCTAGAGCTAACACTGACAATAAATATTTGTGGTCCCAAGACGATCCCTTGGGGTACACCTCTCTATACATTGTTTTCAACCCGTAATCTTCTCTCACCTGATTGGTCGGTTCGGCGTTGATGCTGCCGTAGCTGGTCTCCGGTTGCTCCTCCAGGCCAATGAGCGTCGCTTTGTCTTCGCGATGTTTACGACTCATCCTGGTCCAAAAGTTCAGCAAATCCTACTGCCCGGTTTACTCTCGCTTTTGGCTGAAGAACTTCTGTTATGAATTTCCTGCTAAAATATTTGTAACCTACCACATTTTCCTGTTGGTACTTGAAGTGTCTATTAATTATATCATGATGAAAGTGACAGAAACGCACAATTCCACTGACATCTTAAGGAAGTCCAACTATTTGAATCTAGGTCGAAGTCCATAGTTCAAGTTTAAATCCGGTTTTGGTTCTGGTTGTAATTCCTGAAGTTCTGCCTTGAGTTTTGCTGTTATGTGGAATGAGTCTCTTGAGTCTGACCAGAGTGCGTCCGAGCTGTCTAGTCTACTCTCAAAGTGTGTGATGTGGGCGTGTCCACTGAGCAAACAGATCCTGGTAGAGATCCTGCCATTCTATTTACTATTGGGTGAAACGAGCTTAAAACAACAATCTATATGTAGACAGAGAAACTAGGACAAATGCTAAAGGCTCTGAACCTGATTTTTACTGTCTTCAAAACGCAGAAAACAGAATTAGCTCATTTAAAACAGTTTGCAGTGGTCCAAAGTTCTTCCTCACTTCTGCATTCAGAACATCCTCATTATTCACCACGATGAGTTTCTAAGAGTTTATCACAACTTTCACAGAGAAGAGCTGAGCTTGCCATTACTGTAAAGGTAAAACAACTAGCATGCTAAGACACACATCCTGATTATCTGACAGTAAAACGTGTTCTTGTTTAATGTCTGTGTGCAAATACTTTTAGGTCAAAGCAAATTTACTCTACCAGTCAAATGTTCGGACACTTTCTCATTTTTATATATTAGGAAACATCAACTAACAACAATTAGCATGCTAATACACACTTCCTGATAATCTGTAAATATAAAACTCTTCACAATTAAATGCAGACTGAAATAAATACATGGGGAAAAATGGGTACAGGGTCTTTAACTGCAGCTGCAACTTCATTTTTGTAAAAAAAAAAATAATAATAATAAAAATTCCAATTTGAATTGTGTGCTGGGCTGTATAGAAAAGCTGCTAGCATGGAGGTGTAAGATGCCGCACTATGTTGTCATGCAGGGTGGTGGGGAAAGAGGGTGAGGGCGGGGGCATCATCTACATGTCTTCAGTCAGTTAGTCCTGGTTTGTATCTACCCACATCTCCTCCACAAAGGCAGGAGGAGAGTACAGCGGAGAGTACAGCGGAGAGTACAGCGGAGAGTACAGCGGAGACAGCGGAGAGTACAGCGGAGAGTACAGCGGAGAGTACAGCGGAGAGTACAGCGGAGAGTACAGTGGAGAGTACAGCGGAGAGTACACCTGACCTGGCCTGGAGGTTAAACGTGCTATAGCTGAGTTGTACTATTTAAAGTTCCCATATGAAGCCAGTTTCTGATTTCTGTTCTAATGTAGTTTCATCATCACACACAGAGCTGGAGTTGTGTTTTGTTTGTTTCATTCACACACACATCAACACACAAACCCTGTGCATTTGGTCATACCAGTTTGTTATAACCCTTACATACTGTTTGGGTCAAATTTGACCCGTTTTGACATTCAACAGTAGAAAAAATACCCTAAGCATCATTATTTCATCCTGAAAATTTGATGACTTTTCCTAAATTTTGCCAAAATACACAAAAATTAAAATATTTTAAAATGTTATACTTTTGCACAGATGCTACAAATTTTGCAATAATATACATATAAATCATAATGGCTTTTATGTTTTTATGTGTGTTGTAAAACAGGACTATACATGTGATAGTAGAGGTTTTTCTCCAAAAACAAGTGTTGTAAAACTTACAAAAATATGCTCTTCCTGCTCTCAGAAACATTATTATTAGTTATATATTACACTTATTTATTAATGTGGGACAGTCTATGTAGTCATTTTAAATAGATCTGTAGTTCAAAATTTGGTTTAGACACTTACTATGAGGGAATTCTTGGTCCGGGTCAAATTTGACCCGAACTATACAGTGAAGGCTTCAGAAATGAACAGTATGTAAGGGATGACCTGATCCCGTCAGGTCTCAGAAGCTCAGCAGGGAGGGGTCTGGTTAGGACTTGGATGGAGACACTGGGAACATCAGGCGCCACAGTGGCTCCAGTCGCCAAAAATGTTGTTGTGTTCTTAGGCAAGACACTTCACCCACATTGCCTAGTATGAAAGTGGTGTGTGTGTGAGTGATGGTGGTGGTGGGAGGGTTTGACGGTGCAAGATGGAGTAAATAAATATTGCTCTGTAAAGCATCTTTGTGACATGTTTGTGAAAAGTGCTACATAAATAAAAACGTATTTCCTTACTTTAGGCTGAGTTCTTCACTCAAACAGAAAACACTCTGTTCCACCTTGTGATGTCAGGGGGTAATACAGCAAATGCTCCAAAGTCTTTTAAACTCCATGCACCGTGAGTAGAAATATTGGATAATTTCAGCCCTGGAGCTATTCACTTGATGATGGAACAGAGCATTTTGAACTTTACAGTTTTGCATAATATGGAACCTTTAAAGTGGAACAAAACACTTAATCAACTTTTTTGACCACTAAACTGTGTATATGGTGTTTTAATAGCTTACTTTACTGCCCCAACTCCAGAAGCCATTTTATTTTCAAGTACCTCATGACATCACACAGGACTGCCCTGACTCCAGACTGCTGCAGTTAAGCATCTAACCAGAACTGCAAAGAAATACTCCATACAGATTTGTAGTAGTTATTGTACTAGGAGACTGTGTATAGTGTCCTCATGCAGTACTTACCCCTGCTCTTAAAACTACTGTATTACACAAAATGGATTCTTGTTCATTTTAAAACCATGTTATAATGTTGTTACCTCCACAAAAACAGATCTGGAGCTGAGTTTTGTTTCATTCACTCATGTTTCAGTAACATTTATTATGTTGTGTAGTGGTGATGTACTGGTAGTTTTCAAGTTAAAGGGACAGCCCTGAATTTTGGACATAGGACGTCATTTCATAGTGAGCCAGAGTGTTGGAGACGTGTTGAGACACTTTCCATCCAGTCCTTGTATTTGCAGAGGTCGCTGGTGCTAGGCTAGTGCATGTCAATGGCCACAGTTAGCCAGCCACTAAAAACAGTCTTACCCACTCCACAAAACACCTGAAACAAATCTATTATTACACCAGACTGTCCATGTGAATGTCTGTGTTGATAGAATAATTTTAGAAGTAAAACCAACCTTGTATTTGAAGGATTTCTGTGTGAGCAGCAGCAGTGAGTTGTACTTCCTGATAGAAAGTTCAGCAGCGGCGGACTGATATATGAGAAAATAGTCCCTCAACATGTGACGATTCATGTGATGCAAGGTTAGTTTTATTTCAAACATTTTTCTATTGACACAGACATTCACATGGACAGTCTGGTGTAATAATAGATTTGTTTGGGGTGTTTTGTGGAGTGGGTAAGACTGTTTTTAGTGGCAGGAGAAGTATGACCATTGACATGCACTAGACTAGCACCAGCGACCTCTGCAAATACAAGGACTGGATGGATTTTTTTTTTTTTTTAAAGTGTCTCCACACGTCTCCAACACTCTGGATCACTAGGAAATGACGCCCTATGTCCAAAATTCCAGACTGTCCTTTTAACAGCTTCTTTTACCTTTAGTTCAGTAGAGATGAAATTATCTAAATAATTCTAGTGAAGGTGTATAGGGTTTAAACACACAGTAGAGCACTTCCTGTATTTCCGCATGACATCACAAAGTGCAACATTGAAAAAAAAAGAAAAAGAAAAATGAATTCAAGTTTCTGCCCTCGTGCTCTCAATTCCTTTTGAAATAACATATACTGTGGGCGCTTATGTGCAAATAGATTAGGACAGGGTTCATTTACACAACTCGTCAAATGTTTGGAAACTCCTTCTTATTCAATATTTACAGCCTTTTACAAAAATACATGAGTCAAAAACTCACACCCACTTTTTCATGTCTGTTTCTTCTTTCTTTCCATGATTATTTACACTGGAGATTCTCTCTGAGGGCATCAAAATTCTGAATGACACATGTAGAATGAAGTAAAAATAATAATCACCCTTTGCTTTGACCCTGGATTGCACTTTTGTAACTCCCTGACCCTGACGTGGCACAGCTGTGAGGTGAAAACCATTTCAGGAGATGTCATCATGAAGGTCACTGGGAGAAGGATAAGGGTTTGCAGAGCTGTCCACAAAGCAAAGGGTGGACACTTATATTTAGAGTTATTTTACTTTTTTGTGACTACATAATTCCGTATTTCTTGCAGCATATATTTGATGTATCAATGTAGAAAGTCGTAAAAACAGTATGAAGAAAAAAAAAAAAACAACAACACTTTGAGGGTGTGTCCAAACTGTTAGTGTACATGAACGAAGATGTAAGAAATGATTTAACAAAGAAAGAATATATATACATACACTCAAAACTCAACTACAAATGTTTTATATTTTAGATTCAAATCCTCAAAGTCTCCACCCTCTGTTTTGTCGACAGCTGCAAACTCTTGATCTTCTCTCAGTGAGCTTCATGATGGTGGCTCCTGAAATGGTTTCCACTTCACAGCTGTTGTCAGGTTCATTAGTGCGATGCAAGAATGTGTAAAGAAAGTAAAGTAGTGATCAAAGCAAAGGGTTGAGGCTCAATTACATAAAGAAGTAAATCTGAGACACTCTGACTTAAAGGGATAGTTCGGGTTTTTTGACTTGAATCTGCATGGCATCCCCATCAGCAGTGTCATGCATCTAGCGGCAGCGCGCAGTGATACGAATGGAGAGAAAATAGTGCCAAGCGATTATGAGGTATGACTTTTTTGAGGACAGAGGTTTTGTGATGCAAATATGTCACTCTTTTGAACACATATTGTTTTGAGAAGAAAAACTATTTATTTTCGTGTCCCCAGTCAACTTGCCGGACTACTTTCATCAGCACCGAAACCGGCCAGGATCTCGGCTCACCGGACGCTGTTGGGGGTAAGTCAGTGTGGATGCACGACACTGCTCACAGGGATGCCATACAGATTTATGTCAAAAAACCCAAAGTATCCCTTAAAATCAAACTCTTTAATTGAGACGTTTTGACCAGGTCCAGGTCAGGGCATTCAGCACATGCCTATTTTGAATGATAATGTTTAATTTATTTCACACTTTTTGTTTAATACATTCCATCTTTGTTCAATGTGAATGGTCCTTCAAATAAAGAAAAACATGAAATAAAAAAGTGTGTCCAAACTTTGGTCTGGTCATGTATAGAGCACTTTTATACACTGAGAGTACAGTGACAAAGTGCATT